GTCCCATGGAGCCCCCTCCTGCCCCGCCCCCCCCTCTTCGCACAGACATCATCCATACCTCATTTACTGACAAATACTGGCAGATAGCCTTGATGGCATCTTCGAAGTCAACGTCGATAGCACGAATGAGCGCATCCCCTAGCGGTATGTCGTATTGGAGTAACACATTGATGATATCTGAGAAGAAAGACACAGGATCCCGGTCCAAGTTTATTAATAACAACATTTTATGAAACTGCGGAGGTTTCATTTACTCACCAAGAAGAAAAAATAATAAACTCACCCCATCCCACCCCCTCCAGATAAAATATATTTATCACAACCATTATTAAAATACGTGTATATTGACACAAAACCTCACATTGTGGCGTTTACTGAAAACCCCAGCCCAGAAAACTGTCAGCAATTTTGAAAAATTGACAAGCTATCTTTTTAAAAAAGACTAACAATTCCATTTGTATTCTGATCGAGGTCAATTTAGTGGTGCAGCATAGCCACAATATGCTTAAGTATTGTGCAAATTGTGATAAAAGCATGAAATTTCGCAAGTTGGTTCTTGGCACCTATTAGTTTACAGTCATGTTATAAATTCAGACCCCACAAATAATTTTGAGGTGACCTGTCACCTCGTTTCTCCTTATTTTATTGGCAGACGCAATATGATGGAGATTGGAGTAGAAATCTGTGGTTCTGTTTCACAATGTAAAGCGTACATATGTCAAGTAATATTCACTCTTCTGTACTTATATACACCCTGCTGTATCGAGATGGACTTGGATAGCCATGGTTTTTAACTTTTTTACCAAGACCAATGGTCACTGTAAGAGAGTGATACTTGTCCGATGTGTCGCTTATATTCTTTCACGTTTGCGTCTGCCCTTATAAATAGGCAAATTGAGATTGGAGGTCATGCAAAAAAATTCTTTGGGGTCTGACTTCATGACACGTTGTAGAATAATTATGAAAATACATTCCTTTTGCTCTAATTAGACTTCAGTCATGAAAAATGGCATTTAGAAGATTAAACATGATAAATAAAGGCAATCAGAGTACACAAAGTTCATTGATCTCGCAAAGGTCATCAGAGGTCAAATATGAAATGGCTACATATCTGAAAATTCATATCACGGCAAGAATACCCAAAATATTGATATGGGTTATAAAAAAATGGTGTTTTGAATAGTTAATCCTCTTAATATCTATACATAGGATACGCAAAGTTAATTGACCCTTGAAGGCCATTAGAGGTCAGATATGAGATTCCCTACATATGAAATTCTTTTCATAGTATGAGCCACTTAACATTATGACTTGGGGCTTGAAAAAAAGGGGTTTAAAAGGGTATTTCGTATAAATAACTATGAATAGAGTTAGTGCAGTTAATACAAAGGTCGTTGACCTCTGGAAGGTCATCAAAGGTCAATTGTGATTTTTTTTCGCATTTGGTCGTTATTTACATTGTATGAAGACTATACAAAGACTTAGGTCATAGGAAAGTGATATTTTCAAGCACAATAGGCATAAATACAGTATTCAAAGGTCATTGTCCCCTCAAAGGTCACCAGGGGTCAAATATGAAATGCCTCCATATCTGAAAAATTTTGTCATGGTATGAAGAACCAACATGCGAAGTTTCTTGCTTTTATCACAAAATGCACAATTCTGTCCCTATGCCGCACCACTATTTTTTTTTAGATCTGAATACAATCGCTCATCCGCACTTCCGTGAATAATAACACTACTGCTCTGAGTCGTCTTTCCCACTCTACTGCTTTCAATGGAATCCAATGGAATTAATCAGGCAGAATATTTATTATCTCGCACAAAAGACTTTTCTCAACGCAAGATTTCTGCTGTAATGGTGCACAACAAAAACACCACTATACTTTGAACGCCAGTTCTTAAGTTTACACTTTAACGGCTCCAGCTAAGGCCAAAAAAAGTCTCCGGTTTCTAGTATGCGCGCACGTCGCCGAAGCCATGCGCGTCGGCAAAATGAAAAAGTTTTTTTCAATGAAAGATGATGTCTCAAACTGCCAAACTCACTGGTTTGACTGGAATCCGGCTGCTGAACAATTTTAACGTGTTTATTTAGATTGGGTTCAGTGGTCGAGAATAAGCTTTATGTGGCCTCTCTGGACTCCCATATATTTGCACTAAGTTTAGTCGGGCACCATTTGCAGTCATCAGCCGACATTTGAAGCAAAAAAATCAGGTAAAAAAAAAAAATCCGCATCGCCGCACCACTTTTTGGGCAAGCTCCATACCAGAAACCGGAGACTTTTTTGGGGGCCTAAGGCACACTGTAGTACATTCATCAAGTCGCTATAGGAATGTCGGATTAAAAACAAAAATCAGGAGGATGTATTCAGGAGGATGTACCTAATTTTGATGACGAACACATACTATTGCAACCAGTACGTTAGGCCTTTACGTACATGGACACCATTAATCCACCTACGCGTATATTCCATATACGTACGCCACTATTTTTCCCTGCAATGACTCTTTAAACATCAGAGAGGGATAATATGTCCTAGAAAGTGAAATTTAGCAGGGAAAATATTGAAGTTTTCAGTTGGAAAACACAATTTTTTTAGACCAGTCTCATAGGGTGTGTCAAGTGGCATACATACATATATATATGGAATTCTTTCCATTACCAATCCAATGATCAAAGCCGAACACCGGTACTATCCCAGGCCGGCCAGGCCCAAAAACATGCGAGTCGACTTGTCTCAACGCCACGGCCGACTTGTCTCAACGGACATAATCATGGTCGATTTGTCTCAACGGTCGAGTTGTCCCAAATCGAATTGTCTCAAGGGTCAAGTTGTCTGACCCCCACACACGACATGCGAATAGACAATCCAATCAGCTTGCATCAGTCCCGTAACAGTTATTAACTTACCAAGAAAAGAGTCCGTAATGGCGTCGGCATACAGCGTCATGTTCTCCTCGTTCCTCCAGTCCCGGAGCCATCCTTGTTCCTGCCACTCCCCCAGCAAGGTGTCCAGTTTCCGCCCATTACCCGTCTGTGCTACTCCCTTTACCTCCTCATAACGAGCCATCTCCTCAGCCATACGAGCCTCGCCAACCGCCGGCGCCAAAACCCCTGGTTCCCCGTTGGTTTTACCGCTCAACGCGCTCCCATTCCTCTTCACTCGTCCTTTTTCCATCTCCTCAATCTCCTCAATCTCCTCCATCTCATATGCTTCGTTATCCATCTTTCCAAAATTTTCTTACCGATCCACAGTCTTGAGTCGACTCAGAAATCCCAGTTAGACTGAGAAGTAAACTCATTAGTAATCCGTTACCCTCAGTAACAGTCACTTCCGCAAAACACGCGAAAGAAAACGATCAAATTAATCCAAAATGAAAGTACATGTACATGTACTTGTCTTTCAATTCTGTTATGGTATCACAACACGTACCGTACCTCGGGAGATTGCGTACCGGTATGCTGTTATTTTGCCTCATTTGTTGCTGCCGTCCGTAGCTAACTAGCTACGCCTGGGTGCTTCCATGAAAGCAAATGGAATTCGGAGCACACAAATCAAAAGTACGGGTCCCAAGGATAGCTACTTGCATGATAAAGAGATTTGCACAACACCAACTTGTGTGGCTCCTCGAATCTTTTCTCGAATCTCTTCAATGTGTGGGCGCCTAATTCTAAGACTTTGGTGCCTACTTCAAAACGAGGACTGGAGCACAAACGATACTAAACGAAGGTTTGCATAATACCAACTTTTGTGGTTTCTCGAATCTTTTCAATGTTTGGGCGCCTAATTCTAAGGCTTCGGCGCTTTCTTTGAAACGAGTACTGATGGAGCACAAACGGCATTAAAGCCAGGTTAGTGGTCAACCACCCGTGGCCTGAGGAACGGGAATTATATTATTGTAAAGCGCTTTGAGGTCGTTCATTCGATGGAAAGCGCTGTATTACAATCATATTTTTTTTATGACTGCTGATGACATTGCATCCAGTGGCGCACCCAGAAGGTGCACGATGAGTAGCATTTTTGTACAGGTTGTTTGTATTACAAAAACGCGGCATTGAAATTGACCAATCACCATCTTAGTCCTGATTCCGGAAGAAATGACGTCACACATGCTTAGATACATCAGACGTTAGATAGGAGACTGGGCTCCGTGAATAACGGGTGATACTCAGACTACCCCCCCTCCCCTCCGCCCCATGCTTTCTCTTGCATTCCAAGGCAATTTGAGAATAAATTAAAGAATTTTAGCATCCATTAATTATTTTTGGCCCCATTACACTTGTGTCATAATATAAGTCTGCAGCGGCTGAACGCGGGGGGCGGGGGTTTGACCCCGCTTCCCCCTCCCCCCCCCCCCCCCACCCCAGATCCGCCACTGGTGTAGAAATCAGTCCGAAAAGCATTGCTTAATCGAAAAATACAATTAAAAAAATTCTGGTTTTACCATTACATATTTCAAATATAAACTTGTTAGTATTTTGGCTTCATGTCAATAAGTTCTGAAGCAGGATATATCAAGGACTGGCCAGACAAACACGCCAGATAATGGTCTCCAGTTTAATCACAAGAACATGCAAGGACTTTCTTTTCAATTGCAATTGTGAGATGGAGAACTGTTTACTGTTGTAGTTTGAGTGAGATGGCCTTGGGTGTTGTCTGATGTATAAATGATGCCCAACCTTGCTTTAAAAAAAAAAGCAACAGACGGTTACTAACGTCGACCGTACATAATCACAGTAAAAAGAACCTGCAAAACAATGTTCTGGATTAAGTACGAAGGATGAAAACATGTAGGCCTTGACGCTTTTGACGCAGTTTTGGACCATTGAATTTCTCAACCCGAAATATGCTCGTGGTATTTTTCATACAATCTCAGAATGGATGAAGTTTTCCGTTAATTCGCCGTTCCCTGTTAACGAGAAATTAATGTACATGTACGTGTGTATACTTCATCGTGCACGGCGAGGCAAATAAAGACGAATTCAGTTTCCTTTCTGATTTTCCGAAACGTATTGCAGCGATTTGGCTGACACCAACACTTTATTAAATAATCGTTATTGCATTGCATTCATCAAAGACAGTGGTCCCACCTTTTCCTACTGCTATCCAATTGTTCAAAACTTCGCAATAATGACAGCAAATGCATGCCCATATCATAACAATCATTCTTAACCCCACATCATTTATTTTTCCCAAGGTCAGCGAAAGGGGCCGCTATAACACCCCTACACCTTCAGCCAAAAGCTGTGCAAAATTAGTTTATTTATACCGAATCCATGGACCAAAACTTAAGGGAAAACTTAAGCAAAACATTCGATTTCTTATTGCAACTCCGCGAAATTAGGCATGATAAGATTGTAAGCTTGGTCTTGCTGCAGTTCTTAGGAGATAGAGCAAATGAGTTGCAGTCAAAATATACTTTAATCAAAATTCTAAAATGTAGATGCTGCACACTGCATTACTACTAAGTGTTTATACACGAATGAATTAAGCCAACTGCGAGTCAGGTTATAGAGAATAAATTATAACAATCGTATAAATAATACAGTTATTTTAACTTCAATGATGCTCGGAGTGTTCTTCTTCTTCTAAATCTAAAACGCTTTGACACTCCAAGGTCTTAGTTTCCAATTTCAGCCAAAATTTAAAATACAACAAGAGGTGGCACATATGCTTCCAAAATTTTCGTATCAATTTTGTTTAATTAAATTTTAATTATCCAACACACTTTTATTAATCAAGTGTAATCATTCAAGAGTAGAATTGCCAACTGGCATTTCATTCATGCTCGACTACAGTGTCCAACCAACATACTCTTTGAAAACACTAACACCACTTAGGTCTTAATTGGTATTTGAAGATGACAATCATGATCTCTTTTATTAAATCATAGTTTCCGCTTGTTATGATAAGTAAACAGAATACATTCTTTGAACAAAGAAATGAACGAAGAACTACTCCTTTGGTTCCAGTCTATGGGGCTGAGTTCCAGAGTGACGTAAATCGACGCGTCTGCTTGCCTCTGCCAACTCTCGTCGAATCTGGCGATCATCGCCCCACACTATGTCATGTTCGACCATAGTAGCAAGGCGACGAATAAGACTGCTAGTTCCTGGGAGAACTGCAGGGTTCGGTTCTGGTTCCGGCTCAGGCTCTGGTTCAGGCTCCGGTTCAGGCTCCGGTTCAGGCTCCGGTTCTGGTTCTGTTTCTGGTTCCGGTTCTGGTTCTGGTTCTGGTTCCGGTTCCGGTTCTGGTTCCGATTCCGGTTCTGGTTCCGATTCCGGTTCCGGTTCCGGTTCAGGTTCAGGTTCTGGTTCAGGATCTGCTTCTGGCGCCCCTCCTCGTTCCGCCAGAAGCTTTTGGAGTCGCTCTACCTCTGCGTTCAAAGAATTGATCGTGTCTTTAAGTTCCTCAGTTTGATCTGTGAGTTCGAAGGACTGCGTGTTTAGACCTTCAGCGCGCACATCCATCGGAGCCAAATCATGAAGTTTCTGGTGAACACCTTGACACTTTGTCCCGGTGTTCAGCAACGTCTTGTTGAAACGTCTCAATCGGTCTTTGGTGAAATATCTGCCCGTGAGAAAATACAGACTCATGAATTATTCAAAGCTCTGTCAACCAAACCCCTAGCTACCACCAAGAGAAACTCATTAAATTGAGACCGAAAATTGTGGGGCGCTATCCATGTTATTGTTAAAAAATATATCACAGTATGCAATCAATGTTTTCATGGGAAAAAAAGTTCACTGAACTGCTAACGAAATACAGAGTGTATCCAAAAATGCAAACAAAATTTAACGGAATGCAGACGTACAATGTGTAACCAACATAATAAAAAATTATAGGTATGGTTTAAAAGACAAAGTTATGAGTAATTTCCAAGAGACGTCAAATTGACCAGGGGACCAAGTTTTCAATTTTAGGCAGGGGGACAAAGGTTGCCTGGCCTACAAAAAATGTCTTTAGCGAGTAAACACAATTCTAAACACTTTCTTGCTATCAGTTTGTAAACATGTTTACATGCTAAACATTTTTGCAATTTGAAAGATTACTTTTCGGGGTGCCGCGCCCTTAAACGATTGACATTGTAACTTTAAAACCTGATATTAAACACGAGATAGAAATGTGGTCTTACCTCAAAGATAACAGGTCGTTCTTAAGTTGTCTAATGTCTCTGACGCTTGCTCCTTCTGCATTCTGTGATTCAGCCGAGAGATTCTGCTGTATGTAACGGCTGCTTATCAGCTTGATAACCCTCTTCAAAGTAAAACAGAAAAGAGAAGTTGAACTGTACTTGAAATTCGAGGATTTATCAAGTGAAGCGATTATCTCTAAAAAAAAAAAAAACCAGAGGCTTTTTATTCGACCTATCAGTCAGCATGCTCTGACCGTCATACGCAGAATGCTTAAGCTTCCAGAAAAATCAGTGGTGTTGGGAATCAAAACAATTCAGTATTGGTTTTGCCCTATACCAAATTTTGTTATTAAAAAAAATGTACACTCGGTGTTGTCCCAAGTGATTGTGAGACAACAAAAAATCACTACTAGGTGGGACTTGAGCCCACGACCTCCTGCTTACTAGTGCAGACGTCTTACCACTGGATCACCGAGCTTTCCAGGGTCGGCTGGCTAGTTCAAATCTGATTTAGCAGTGGGTATCGTGATCAAATTATTCATGACTAATAATCAAAACAAGTTGTCCAGTGTTTTGAAACAAGAAATAAAAATGCAGATGTCTGCCGTTTGCTTACCGAGTAATCGTCAAGTTCGTTCTTGGCGTGGATGTGTTTCTAAAATGAAATCGGATTGTGAAGACGAATTATAAACACTAAAACATCAACAATTGATTCAGTTCGGCAGACTTATCACACTTCTGCTCAGAAATTTAACACTGAAACTAAAAAAAAGGACTAAAAAAACACTAACGGCAATGGTGACACACTTATTCTCAACGAGACGTAATTCACACTGACATTTGGCAGAACTCTCATTTCTTTTTTTGTGGCAAAATCAACCACCTCAAAACGGCTTGGTACATTTTGCCTTTAGTAATAGAGAGTCGTAAACTCACTTTGTTCTTGCGTTTTCGCCGGACGCACTCGATATAGTTGCCGATAACAGCGCGCAGGAATCGCCAGATGCTCTTGAGGGACGGGATGAGATTGAAGGGAGGCGGTAAGGTGCCGACGGGATGCAGGTAGATGTCCCAGATGATAGCTCGGTGAAACTTCCACTCCGTGTCAGAATCTTCCTGTTGAGGCAGGAGGAATGGAAGGATGGATTGATCAATGAGAAGTCTGAAGTTAGAGCTTTTCTTGTGATGGACCTTTTCATCTGTGTCTAATGATCTTCTTGCATCCTCAAAATCCAGCAAAGCGCACGAACCTAATTAATGACACATTAGTTCTGGGTAGAACATGTTCCAGGTACAGGGTAAACATAAATTGGATTGACTTTCCTTAATTAGGCAAAGTCCTCCAAAACTTCCTTGTGATTTATAAAAGATCTGGGAATGGTAATAGGGGTAACTGTAGGGTTTTGCCCTTCATCGACGTGATGCTATTACGTGGACATAGCACTCAGGTAAGAGAGTCATAAGCTCATATGAGGGACTCCAACCAGCGACTTTCTGCTTATATACCGCTTGATGAAGGTTTGATGAAAAAGAAAGGTTAAGAAGAGTTCTTGAATATAGCTGCTATCAGCTGAAACATCTTTCGTATTTCAGTGCCTACCTCCACTATATTGTAGGTGTTGGACAGCATGCCGATGAGGGCGTTCAGCAGAATCAAGACACCAACCACCAGGTAGGTGGCGTACAGAAACGTGCCAATCATCTCAGCCAGGACATGGTTTGACGACGACAACTGTAAGGTGTCCAGCTCGGTGAAGCCGAAGAGTGTCCAGAACAATTCCACCAGCGTGTCGGGGAATCTGGGGGCAATTAGATAGGAGTTTGTTAATGAATTACACGCAGAATAACCATAAGTCAATCACAAGTACAAATTACCATTGGCACATTCTTATAGCATTATAACTTTGGACATTAAGTCAAAGCAATAGTTGTTTCAGCTGAGCTTAATTTTGTGTCCCTCAAATGGATGCATAACCTTTGTGTGGATATCAAAATGAATATTGAAGGATACTAGATTCAGGGTGGTTTGGTTTATTTTTCCAAGTGAAATTAACACAGATAGTTAAGGAAATTCTTTAAGGCCTCTACTCTGCAAAACAAAAATCTTAGATTAGGAAAAGTTCAACTTGTAACTTACTCAGCAAACTTGACGACATTACAGGAGGCTTCATCACCCCCTTCTCTCAGGCAGGCCAGACTCTCCGATTTGCCAGCCGAGAAGTAATTCTGCGTCATTCCCACAGCAAAGGCGAACCACACGATGATGAAGATGACGATGAACTTGATGAAGTCACCGCCCATGGAGCCCAAGGAGATGCGTAAGGGACCCAGTGAGGCGCTGACCATCAGCATGTTGGTCAATCGCATCAGGGAAATCATCATTGCTATCCCGTAGAGAGCCTCAGAGACTAGGATCGGATCGTAGGTATCAGCTGCAATGTGTATCAGATAGTAGTCTGGTAAAACGCTTCCGTTAGTTGCAGCCACTGGAGCGTTGACTGTAGCTGCCGGGGAACCGTACCGGCAGGCCAGACCAGAGAGCGCCCGTACCAGAACCGAGTCCGTATCGTCCCGGAACGAGGATGTAAGGTTCTGTTGAAAGGTGCTCATGACTGAGGTCACGTGAGTGAGGATATCACGTGATTGGTCAGGGGTGAGGTCGTCGACTGCCCGGGCACTCCGGCTAGACGAGATATTGGGAGACAGCTTTTGGGAAGAAATCAAAACAACTTTTTATTTTTTTTTAGTTATCTAAACAAGTGTATGGTCATCGCAAATTAAATTGACAATTTTGACAACGTAACAATATCGGGGCATCATGCAGGGCAACAAAGCGATTAAGTCTGCTCAAGATGAAAACCCTATGAGGAGAACCCAACCTCATTTTTAGGACACTAAAAAGGTTAAACTTGGGTATGATGACGGGTACTTTGTGGTGTCCTGGTTTCTGCAACACATGACCCACAGCTTGGGTCCCCTCCAAGTACTAACATATCAGTCAACGATGCCAACCAAGATTATGCACTTACTCTACCTTTCACAGGGCAAATCGTTGCACTGCTAAAAATGTCCAACTTACGTTGATTTCCCAGTCCCACTGCAGGAAGAAGATGGTAATATACAAAGCGACGATGATAGCTTCTTGGATGTTGGTGGAGTAGTTGATGAATCGTCTCCCACCTTGCTTCCAAATGATCTTGATGTGCATCCAAAATACACCTGTAAAGTTGAAGATGGGGACATGTTTTTTTTTTCAAGAATGAGAAAGTACCCCTTAACTGTTTAATCCCTTGGTTGCACGGCATTCTAGTCCCCCCCCAGAGCCTCCAGAACAAAGATACTTACAAAATATAGACCGCGTTATATAGGTAGTCAGATCTGTATTAAGCTTTCATTTGTCACTTTACTGGGACAAAGAAATTTTAATTGTAGGAGTTTTCTCAGGAAAGATGCCAACCTACCGGTGTTCCACAGGAGAATGGTGAGCCGTAGTACCCCGCTCAGTGTAGGATCGGTCGCTCGCTCCGTCACACCCAGGGCTATGATCAGACCAATAAAGGTCAGACTCGAACCCAGACTCAAAAGCATCATCACATACCTGAGGTACAAAAAGTAAACGAACAGTGTGGTTTAGGCGTGGCTTTTTTGGTCCTATTTATGGCCGATTAATTGGTCTTCGTGATAACAACTTCAAACATCGCAAGTAACAAGTTCGTTTTAGATTGTGAAAGCCACAAAGTAAACATAACGCACGGCTCACTTTAAACAAGATAAAGTTTCTTAACGTTGATGCGTGCTTGTTGCAAAAAGTCCATCTTTGACTTTCTATCCTATCAGTAGAGGTTTTGAATTTTTGGTCTTAAACTTAGCTCTGAATGATGAAGATGACTTATCCTCAATTACATCAATGTAAGTACATGTACATTTTAGCCAGCTTTAGAGATATAAACAATGTTTGTTTTTCGGAGACATTTTAAATACTTACGGGACACGAACGAAGCGGACGACGGGCGGTATAGGAAACAGAATATATACGAGGCAAATGATTGGGTAGAAGATGATGACGAAAAGGGCCAGGAATACTCGATGGAGGGCGCCCTTGGCATTCCAAGACAGCAGATTCCGAAAGAAATGCGCCACCAGCACCTTCTGTGAATGGGGATGCGCTATGAACTGAAAGTATGGATAATAGTTGAGGCTCTGTGAATTATTTGTTTCCAAAGACGTTCTTAATGCACTTTCCAAGATTACTGCTTCCGTTCAAAGACTGCCTGAGAAGTCCTATATTGAAACAAACTTAAAGTTACCTTTGCCAAGTCCGGCACAATGAGTTTTCTTGCAATTTACATTGAAAGTATAGTCCACAGTCCAAGGATTTTGGAAAAATGGCATGTCTGGCAAAGTACAGCAAGACTGCTCACCGAGAAGAAAATGAGATACTTACGTTTTTCTGTCGGTAGCGGATGGCTTCGGATACCTTGGCTAAGGAATGTTGCCTCCCTTCACGGTCTCTGTATTGATCGGTCTTGTGGTATCTGAACAACCCAAGAACCTGTTAATACACAACATCCAAAATACCACGTCAATATTTAATGAGCCACCGGTTCAATGGGTACACTTCACCTTGCAGCAAGGTCATACTGTTTTCTGCGGAGAAGCGTTTGTTGCCATTTTTTATTATGATTGTCGCCTTTGACGAGTAAAGACCTTTGGAAAGCCATTCAAGTGAGGGCCACAAAAAAAGAGAGCAAAACGAGGCTCAGAAAGACAAGGTCAAAGATGGAGTTTATGATAATGAAGCGTAATATTACCATGATGAAATATATAGCATTGAAGAATAAAAATTAACCACGATTGTGGGACATAGTGGTACAAGAGAATCTAATAGCAGATACACCTGATACAGAAGGGTTTGACTTAACAAGCAGGATTGAAATCGTACCTCTTCGGTTGACGCCGACTGGCCCAAAAGCTCCGCAGCAAATTTTTCCACGCTTTCGGCGAGGGCGTCAAACTCTGCGCCGAAATCTTGCCACGCGTTACCCAACAGCCGTAGCCTCTTACTCATCTGGGGGGGGGGGGGATGGAGACTTATTCAAACTTTGTGAAAGTACAAACAAATAATTATTTTAAAATCACTTAGATTTTTAATAATATAAGTCACTCGCAACTTACTGTAGGTCTAAGTCAGAGCTGGATGTACTTACTCGATTATTAGCACGAATGTGGCATCATCAAAAAGTGGTATTAAAATAATGTCTTGGTTACATCACATTTTCAGAGTGTACCTAATTTCTGTCCAACCCCTAACCCCCTAGGCATTTTTGCTAGGATGCAACCTCAATCTTGAAGAATATTCCAACTACCTCCATGTTTACATTGCATACAGCTTCAATCCTCCAAGATCATCCATTATTTCTTGAATGTGGTCCTTGGAGGGGTGACCACTGCCTCAATCCTGCAAAATCCTCCAGCAATCACTGTCAATATGTTGAGGCAGAGCCAGTGACATCCTGGAGCAGTGAGGATGATTTCAAGTATAATCTAGGCCTATAAACAACACAAGGTCCGGCCTAAGACTTTGACACAGTGCATCCTCAAAAATCTGCCACAGAATTGTTTTTGCCAAAAAAGCCTCCATCCTTCAAAATCCCTCACTTATGCAAGGAGGAGTTTTGAGGATTTCGGAAGGTTAGACACTGTAATGTCACACACCTTGAAAGCATGACCCAGAACATCAAACTGTGTCGTCATCATGTACGCGGGCTGTGACAGGGCGCGGTAGATGTGAAGCGTGGAGACGGCTTGAGTCAAGGTCACATCCACCCCCATTGAGATCTTCGGGATCTCTATGATCGCTCCAAGATCAACTAGCATCTGTTGATGAAAGGTGTTGTGATGATCAGAATGATGGTGACGAATGGATAAACTCTTCTGTCACTCAGATCAAATTTGACCCGCGATCCGGATTTTATTTGACCCGGCACTTTTCTGGGTCAAAATTGACACTTGTTTGGGTCAGAATGACACTTTTGCCACGGTCTCACAGAAGTGTTATTTTGACCTGGAACAGTGTCAATTTTGACCCTGGCCAGGTTTTGATGCTAATGCAAATTTCCATATTCATGAACAAAAGTGTGATGTATTTTCAGGCAGAAACCTCAATATGTCACAGCTATTTCAACACTAAAAGTTGCCAGAATTTCGGATAATTCTCTGTATAGTATTAAAATGTTCTTTTCTTTGGTGATTGGTTGTATCAGTACACGGCAGGAAGCCAATAAGCAAACATTTCTCGAAAAAATATTTTCCAAAAGCAACTTTTTGGGTTCCCAATTCTAACAGAAAACCCCTAAACTGAACATTGTCTTTATGAAATGACATCACAGCAACAGCGCCCTCAGATGTCCCGAAAAGCATGGAAATGTTCAATAAATGTTCAATGTTCAATAAAATTCACCAAAAAGGAGTGTCACATATTTTTCATACATCAAAGAGGAGTAGAAAATGCACAAAATATGTTTCTAAGAAAAATTCACTTCATGGACCCTGAAAGAATTATGGTTCCTTCATATCCAAAGGTAGGCCCCTCTTTCGTAATCCGACCTCCTCAGACTATTTGTTTCGGTTCCTCATCCATGAAGGATGAAAGAAGACATTCAACACAGCTGATTTACAGCAGATCAGACTTGTCTGTGATGAGCAAAGAACATCACACGCAAGAGTTGTTGTGTGATAAGTCTTCCTTAAGAAGACTCCAAAGAAACCACCATCGATTTCACTATGCTCATGATTTTGATGTTACCCTGAATGAGGAAAGGCATCATTAAGGGTTGAATTTAGGAACTTAAACAATAACGGTCTTAGGCCCAAAAAAAGTCTCCGGGTTTTTTTTTCAATGAAAGATGATGTCTCAAAACCGCCAAACTCACTGGTTTGACTGGAATCCTGCTGCTGCATAATTTTAACGTGTTTTTAGATCGAGTATAAGCTTTATGTGGCCTCTCTGGACTCCCATATATTTCCACTAAGTTTAGTCGGGCACCATTTGCAGTTATCAGCCGACATTTGAAGAAGAAAAAAACGGTAAAAAAAAACCCGCGTCGCCGCACAACTTTTGGGGCAAGCTCCTTACCAGAAACCGGAGACTTTTTTTGCCCTACCCTGTCGTGTTGATCAGCCAGTATCGTATGGAATTTGGATATTACAAATGTACAGTGCAGTATGAAATGCGGATTTTTACTGCCACATGTTCCCAATGTTTTGTGAACTGACATGCGCAATTGGACCTAAGGGACTTTTTTCATGGGGAACTATTTCCTACCACACACTTACCTTCACGACCTCGAAGTTGTTGTGTTGGGCGGCGAGAACGATGGGCGTAAGCGCCGGGTGAAAATCGTCATTATCGCAGGATGCATTCAAGACAACTTTACAGACTTCCTATTGATAAAGGGTGGAAGGGTTGACAAAAGGAAAACTGCATATAGAGACATGCTCCTCTCCCATCACGTGTTTTAAATGTTTAAATAAGTTTTACCGAGATGCGCATGCGTAAGGCTGGTTTTGGTACAAGTGTTAAAGAATAGGTGGTATTTTTTTCAGGCTGGAGTTCACGTTTAACTTTTCAACTGACGAGAATATGATTACATGGCTGTGACATTAATCTAAAGTAACATGAGTTGTCATATTTAGTAATTGAAAGTTAACAGTTTCATTTTGTGTATTTCTCTTGTTGATAATGTTTACTCTGTATGTAAGGCTATGTGAATAAAGGAAAACCAAATTGACTTTTTTTCTGAGTTTTTGACATCCGTGACTGGAGGTTAATTGGCTTCAACTTCAGCTTTCAAAGTCAACTCAATCAAGCGGTTTTAAACAAATCCCGCTGAAATCAGTCTGTCGGTACATATTTTCAACAACCATGCTTCGGCAAGGAAAGCAACATGGCGTCCATGAGCCGTTCTAAAGTTCTGAACACACACGGCGACTTCAGTGGATCCCTAACAAAGAGCTGCCATATGCTTTCACGCCAGTCTGGCTCCGCTACACAATCCGATTCATGTTTTCAGAAGTAATCCCTCTTTGTGAGATCATTTCAATGCCCTCGCAGTGTGTTGCGTAAATGCCTATAGTGCTTTTTGAGGACAATAACCCGTAATGCCATACAATTCATTTTTCCAGGTGTTTTGGCGCTCTGCAGTTTACAAAAAAACGTTGGTTTCGTCCCTGGACTTCCGTGAAGCGTCCAAAGACTTTCAAAACACAACCATTGCTCGCGGTCAGTTCCACTCGAGGAAACAATCGCTTTTGATTCCCAGGATTTTTTACCAGGTCAATTTATTGGACAGAAAATGTTAAATAATAAGCAGAAACCTTTATAACAAAAGTAAACTCCAGAGGCCAAGTTGGACTTTCTGTTTTGCGTTCACCACAAAGGCTACAACAAAAAAGTCCTTAAGGCTTATTTTTTAGGGTATTTCAACGGTTCAACGGCGGTAAGGCATTTTAACAAACTTTACCGTTAACGATCATCTCATAAGCTGGGAGAGATTTCAATGCCTTTCGCCCGTACTATAGGATCGTGACAGGCCTTACAAAAAGTTGGAACAGACAATTGTCAAAATGCAAGGCCAAGTGCACTATTTTGGTCAGTATGAAAAGACCGTAGGCCTACACGTTATTGTTAGCTCAGAAAAAAGTATTTCTTGAACGAATCAATTCAACACTCAAAATTGTCTCTTATATAGTGTACATGTGTTACCATTAGGCATTAAGCATCAAGTATTGCCAGCCTGATAACTTGGAGCGATTGGGCCCTTCAGTTGCGTAATTATAGGGACGTTCTCCCCGCATATAAGCTTCTGTCACCCCCTAGAAAACGGGGCCTGTAGTCCCCTACCCCCGTAAGTTGAACCCCAGCTATTCACTTGGGCTTATCTTCCACACGTTTACAAAACTATTTTGGTTGAAACTGGCCCATTTTGCCCGCAGGTATTCAACTTTTTCTTTACATAAGGCTGGGTTGAAAAAAAAATGGGTGATGAATATTTTTTTTACAGAACAAGCGGCCACGGTAACCGTTTGCGTAGGTGAGGCGGGTAGTTCCTGGTACCGTGGGCCGTGTTTTCGTCGCTCTTGTCCGTATCGCAGCAGGCTGGTGTTGGTTAACCAAGAACGAACAACTGTGCGAGCAAAGTTCACTCTAAAACAACTTGAAAATAAAACACCGCTCAATGACGTCAATGGGTGTGTTGTGGAACTTTCTGGAAGTCGATGAGTAACTTGATATTTCAAAATTCCTCACGAGCTTGCCTCCGTTTTGTCAAGGTGTTAGAACTGGTTTGCATTTGAACACCGACGCCGTTCCACTGTGTGAACTTCACAAACGAACCGTTTATTTCTCATTTTCATTTTTGCAGGTGTATGCCCACTTAATCAATGGACCAAGTCTTATGGGTTTTTGTCTTTCTGATTATATCCATCAACTACAAGTTTGGTTGTCTTATTTTTCTGTATCAGTTAGCTCCCGCCTAAAGCAACACACCTATATACTTTATTCACGATAGACCATTTAAATTGAAGCGAGGTAAACTCTTAATTTTGGAGTAGAAACTTGTAGTAGTACTTGCGAGTAGAAATGAAAGCGCTGAAATAAAAGTTCATAACAAGTAAATACCAATCTGCTCTGATGAACAATTTAAAATTTGTGATTAAACATATTCTATTTAAGCCACATTAAAATAAAATTAAAGTGAGGCTTGGAATGCACTCCGATCCTAAAATAGTCTGGCACCATCCCATTCCACAGTTTACAATTTGTAAAATTGATTCAGGGAACACGATTGAAAATGGCTTCCCTCGTGAATAAGGTGTATAGTTTTTAATACTGATCTACGTTTTGTTATTTTACCTGCATAGGTCTATTGTAAATGTAGCTCTTGTGAAACAACATGAAGAGTTCATCCTTACGATAACTCGACTTCGTTTAAATATTTCTTTTTTCGGGAGCTCATGGAATACAATTTTTTAAAAAATGTCATGCGAGTTGATAGGGAATAATAGGTCATGTTTTTGTCAAAATTGGAATGAATTAAGATATTGAACAGCATTTTAAAATGCATCCCTTCTATCTGATGCCACATGTGGGACATGTCTATGTTCCTTTATAGTGGGCAGCAGTAGATACTGACACTGAATTTTAGATAACTAATCCTGCCCTCAATGAGGGCGTGCTGGTCGGCCTTGGGAAGGGTCGATTAATTATATCGAATATTAAAAAAACCCATTGGTGCATTTGTTACAAATATAATGAAGGTTTGGAAAGAATGTAGTATCCAGACGCCACTTCTTTGGGTGTGTACAAAGTCCATGGAGAGTCAAGTGCAGTTTTTTAAAGTATTTTCTAACAACATTGGAAATGTTTCTCAGTCCCAGTTTCATGTCTTTTCAACATTTTTGCAATGAATGGCCTTCATTGAGATAAAATATGATGAACAAAATGTGGCATCAGGATGCTTCCGAAGCTGTTTATTTACCAAAAGTTACCAATAACCAACACATTTGGGGACTAGACAATGACACTGTAGCTGACGAGAACTTACGAGGATTTGCGAGAACTTACCGGGTTGGAAGCCAAGTGCCGACATATGGTACGGATGGCGTCCTCAAAATTCTCCTCAATGCAGCGAATGAGCGCGTCACCCAGCGGAATATTGTGATTCAGAAGAGTGGCGATTGCATCTGGAAAATAACAATAACTAAATAATGACTACCCGAGAGATTGAAAGTTCAAGGTTATATATTATTGACGCTATGTAAATTGACCATTATTTGGAATATATCAGATTTTACAAGTGGTTTAACAAGAGGTTTTCTAGTAGGTTGAAGGTCACTGCACAATACTTGGAAAAACACACACTAATGTTCTGTATGATGGTAAATTATAGAGCACTGTGTACCTCATGGGGGTTGTGTACAAAGTAAAATGGCGAGTCGTGATTTTGTTTTTGCGGCTTTCAGTATTACAAAACAAAATCGAAATTTTCGTAAGTCTTAAATTTGTCCACTTTATCACTGAGGTTATTATACGATGTAAGTGTGCCGCCAGGATACAACATTAAACCGATATCTGGTAGTTATTCAAAAATATGAACTAAGGCAATATGGCACAAACAATTTGCGGTGATCAATTTGTAAAAATAGTAGTAATAATAATAATTAATTTGTTTTGCAATTATGTCTACATCAAAGTGGGTCCAAAATCTTTATATATGAATGAAAGATACATTTCCAGCATCTTATAAGACTTGAATTTTTGGAGACGTAAAAAAAAGCTTTACCTAGAAACCCTTCTTCGATAGCCGTGACGTAGAGCGACAACCCACGAAAGTCCCTACAAGCCGCTGCGTCCCATCCGCTATCCTGCCACTGAGTCAGCAACTCATCCAACCGGTAAGCATCTCCAGTCTTGATGACTTCAAGAATCTCCTCCACCCGGCTGTCTCGGACCTCACTGGGCTCGCCAATCGAACCGTCGCTATCGAGGTCCTCCCCGTCCAGCACGAGCCGTCCCGGGTCGCCCATGGTGCGCCGTGAGACACCGCCGAGGACGTCCGGGAAACTGGCTGCTGACACTCCTCGGTTCGTACACGAACTATTGTCTCCTCAAAGTATACCTATATTCCTCACAAACAGATAAATTTCCCTACACCAGCTGCACAGAGCAACCTGGAATGCCTCCAGTTATTCTGTTCCAGAGGGTTTACTTCAAACTTGCTGAATAAAACTATGAAACTCAGAAAGTTCAAACGAGTTTCATGCATGCGTTTGCTAAGTGCTAGAATGGTGTATTTCAATGTTGCATTACGCACTACCGTGCCTTTTCTCGCTTTGAAGGTTTGTGATTCATTCAACCGGCAATTTGACCCTTTGACCAAATCCACACAGAGACGTGTTTTCAAAGCAAATAGTTTTTTCTGCGGTGTTAAACAGGTCCCCCTGCGTTCCATTGTCTACGTACAGCTATTCGTCACACCAAATACCATTTCACAGACAACTTCATTTTTATTCCGCGTGAGCAGATGTCTGGCGTTCATCCAAGCATGTCGTGGCTCCAGATGGTACAAAAGTCGACCATCAATTTCCCTCCCCGAGTCTAGATTACCGCAGTCAGTAATCCAACTATTCCATGGATGATATATATCATAAACTTGAAACTAACGACTAATCAACAGCCAAATGTTTCAAAGAAATATGGAGTATATAATAGTTTAATAGCTCTCAGGTTTAGTTTTTTCATATCTGCCACGCCATCGTCACTTGATTAATAGTATGCAAATAATGAAAGTTTATGAGTGCAATCCATGGATGATATATATCATAAACTTGAAACTAACGACTAATCAACAGCCAAATGTTTCAATGAAATATGGAGTATATAATAGTTTAATAGCTCTCAGGTTTAGTTTTTACATATCTGCCACGCCATCGTCACTTGATTAATGGTATACAAATAATGAATGTTTATGAGTGCAATGGTTACAATACTTGAATAAGGTGATTGATGGATGTTCGCCTCGTGGAGCGATACATTCCCTCTGTCACCGAATGAACTTATTCTTTCCATTTTCACGAATGTGAAACATTCATTATGCGTTTTATACAACACCTGAATAAAATAGAGCTCGTCATCTGATTGGTCAGCCACTAATAGTGTTACCATAGAATAGAACTTCCATTATTTCTCTGCTGCCGGGCCGTGAGGTGAGACGAATAATTCTACGACAGGTCCTTTTCTTTCAGAGGACCTAAATGTGTATATATTTCGACATTGGGGAGGGGGAATTTAACCCCCTCACAAGAAAATCGAACAAAAGAGGACAAAACAGAACTAATAAGGTAAAAGAAAAGGATAAAAGAAAAGAAAAGACTCGAAGTTAATATTTTACTGCACATTAAATGCATATTATAAGATTGGAAACCCTCGGAAAGGGCTATAAAACGCGGCGATATGTACATAAATACGTACATGTATACGAATGGTTTCAACAGCGCCCAAGCGTCCAATGATGTCCCCCACCCCCTCTACCCCCCCCCCCCCCTTCCCCCTCGCCCCTTTGCAATATTTCCACGGCCGGGGATTTTTCTATGTGGCCCAAAAATTATTTCTTTGCCCCTCACTTGGCCTCCCTCAAAAAATAAATTAATAAATAAATTACCAAAAAAATTGATCCTGGAGCCGCCATTCGCTGAACTCTTCCCCCGTTGGATCCTGCACGGACGGTTAGTCAAGACAGACAAAGCTCTCCAACTCTTGGTTGATTCCAAAAACTTAGTCTGTTTACTGCTTGCGATCCCTAATTCATATGTCCTTGATTTTTTTAAAAGCAACCTTTTTTATTCCCAGAAGACAGTGCAGATTATTTGGGACACCAAGGACACGCAACACGAGGACAGAGGGCCATAAGCCTTCAGCAGGCAACCAAATGACAAGAATCACCAAGAAAATTTGTCTGACAAAAAAAACTGCACAATGGTAGATGGTTGTTATCGGCATGCCCCCTTTCCCCAGTGTCCATCAGCAGGTGAAAGAGTTTACTGCTTTTTATCTCCTTGTAGAAGAAACTATTTTCTTTTTGTAAAATGCGTTACAGAAAACAACGTTATGCAAAAAATAAAACATTTTTTTTTCAAAGGTTTAACTGGTTCCTCTACAAAGTCCTTCGATGATTGCTTCCCCCACTCTTGCGAGAGTATACTGTCTGAGCGCCCTCTACGCTATCTATGTCGGTAATAATGAGCGTGTCTAGCGCCACCAAGCTCAAAATCAAAAGTGGTCCTGAAAACTACCACGAGATGGCGCTGTTACCTTTCAGTGCCCAACAGTACGGATTCAGCCAACCAGACACTGCGCATGCCCGGCTAACGGAAAGTTACAGCTGTGTCTCTGATTGTGTATTCGATTCGCGGGGGATCTTTGCTCGCTCGCTGGACGACACGAAACGCGTTTCAAATCCTACAGATGATGACTCGTCAGACCAACGCGTACGCATAGAATTACGCATTACAAAACAGCCGGTGGTGATTCACCTTCGTCGATGGTTGAAACCCAGACAACGGAGGATATGTGAAAGTTTATTTCTTTGGAGCAAAGTGACATTAAAGGTAACAATATTGGGAACGGAAGTGCCATCTGCTTCGGTAACAGTTTGGTAATGTAGTGTGTACGGTTGGAAGAAAAGACGAATGATATTCCTTCGCATCACTTGGAGTTCTGAACTTTGGAGATACGCCAATGGATAGAGGTGGAATTGTGTGATAAGGAAAACATGGAACTGCACTGAACTGCTGTAAACTAATTGCAGTATTTTGAGATATTGTCGTCACTCTGATAAACTTTTATTGAGGGCTTGCTAAGATGTAGATCGTAAACAGAAATGAAAAGGAAACGGTTATACGGAAGGAAAAGTACTGACAAAATGAACCGTGCTAATAGCCTGTGCATTATAAAACAGGACTGAAACTTGAACCGAGAATAAGCAGTTGGAGTATCACATCCTAATAATTCTTCGTCACAGCATCTCTGATTGAATTCCAAGTCGACCTTTCCAGCCACCTTCGGGCTTCTCAGCCTGTTATTGGTAATATTATCCCCGTCAGCATTCCCCAGGAAGATTCGGGAGAGGGGGTGATGCGCTTGGTCAGATAGAGAGGGGAACGAAGGGGAGACAGACGGCCAAAGATAACAAGCGTAGATGGCGTGCGACGCAGCGCGAAATAAACTTTAGAGCTTGGGAGATGTGAACGGGCTTGGCAAAGTACGTCACAGCCCGTAACCGCGCGTCGATCTGATGAAATAATCATTTTTTTCTCCATCTTCTTTGGAACAATCGACAGCGAATCATCATTCATCAACCGCTGTCGCTTTATTGCTAGCGTGAGGAGCGTCGTCCATGTTTGAATTTCAGCAGAAGCTTTGGCACCCAATGGATCGATTCGCTACGGGAAGGGGAATATTGTGTTGATTTTGACGTTATCTCAGAAGTGGAAGTTTTTTGTTGTTGCCTTATTGGCGCACTGAAGCGACGAATTGCAGACAACTCATCGAATTTTTAAAGTTCCTCTTTTTTGTTCAACGACATTGGGATGTAAATGAGCGCCACTCTATCCAAATTACCATATAGAGGCATTGCACACATCTTCGGTAGAGAAGAGTAACCTTCCGCAGTCTAGGGTTGAGCACATTTGATGTTCATGGATGATGAACCAGCATGTGATAACGTGTCCTGGATGGTCTTCAGAAGCACATCGTGCTAAAATTGACTGGATGGAACCAATAATCAAATCTTAAGTTATCCGCAAAAGGAAGACAACATTTTGGTTGTGTATCGCCATTGGGGAATGAAGAAGTAGCTCCAGAGCGTCAGCGGGGGAAAAAAACGGGTGTTTGGGAAAACAACGGTCTAAACTTGTTTGGTATAGCGATAATTATTTCCTTGTGGAAAGGGATGATAACCAGTGACGTAATCATGACGTCGTGTCCGTGGAAAATACGAAGGAAAAGTGGATCTTGGTGGTGTTTCTGGGTGTTTGTAGCGGTGCTAATACTCCTACGTAAGGAAGGTAAGCATCTAATTTCGCCGTGGGTTAGAAACTGAGCTTTAGAACGGAAGGAGTAATCTTCTTTGAATGGGCTGTTGGATGTTTTATAGTAAAACATTCCGTGAATAAGAATTTTAATCCTTGTAATCGACTGCTCTTTTTCTACGGCTTTTGGTTGACTGAAAAGTAGTTGTTTTAATTAATTCATGAACAAGTCGCAATGGTTTTCAAGGCAAAACAAATTGAGAAATGTTTTCAGGGATGGAAAGTAAACCCCAAGTTTAATACTACCATGACCAAAAAGGTCACAGTGTAGCCATGGATTAAAAATACAAAGAAGAGTCAATGGATGTTATTATTATTAATATTATTATTAACTATTTCTGGTAATGAAACCAAGGATTCCTCAAAAGCGCCCTAGGCACTGTAGTTCGCAAGCCTGAAGAAACCTGTGGAGAGAAGACAATGAGAAGAAATTCTAGTTTTAGAGGTGAGAGGAAAACCCCAGAAGAATATTCTGGGGAAACTCCATGGAATCAGGTAGGGACTGAAAACTCAATCCACATGATCCGGGCAGGAATCGAACCCGGCCGGGCCATAGGGTGGAGAGCAAGGAAATAACCGTTATGCCAACCTTATTCATCATTTCTTAAAGAGTAAAGAAATCCGAAAGTTGCTCATATATGTTAATGACAACTTGGAGTGTTGTGTCATTACCCCAAGGATCCAGGAACTGCCCTCAATAGAATATCTCAATCTCAGGGGGATAAAATCGAAATACTCTGAAACGGGAGGGAGGGGGTCGTGGTCGATCTAATTGCTACCGAAGTTCGCAGGGTAAACACTGCACTCCGCATTATTAAATCTGAATATAGTTTCGCCGGTGGCAGCTAAATCAAATTTGGAATTTTGGTCTATCACTCTGCTGTGGTTTGATTCAGATACCTTGACAGAATGAGAACGACGGTGTTAACCACGGGAGATGTACGGAATGGAAAGAACCATCGACAATTGTGATTTTAATATGTTTTTTTTTGTCGTGAACGAACGAAGTTTTAAAATTGCTCCGGTTACACAAAGCGAAGAATTCAACGTTTTTCATCGGTACATTTCACTGCTGAATTAGTATTCTATGACCGGCCTCGGCAAACAAGCGTATAAATAAAACGCTTCAATGTAGGCTACTGTAAATTTACATAATTTCAGATTGAAATAATTCGCAACGTAAATTAAGTCAATTTGCTTCTGACAGTTTTGAGATACGTTAAAGTTGACCTTGAAGTGAAAAAGAAAACTAATTTCATTAAAGTCTCCTGGCCTTGGTACGA